AAAACTGCTGCACGTGAAAAATAATTGATGTGGTTTTCGAGCTACTACGGTTTGGAGAATAAAATGCCAACTCACCCCTTACTTCCAGAAAGACAGCAGAACCTTTGAAAGGTATTGTTGTAAGTTGGGGTTTGGGTTGTTTTTTTAGCAGTGGATGCACAGAATCTAACGCACCTGGACCCAAGCCTGTGTGCTGCCAGGCAGTCCGCTGCGGCACTGGGCTCAGGGGCTGACCTTCCTTCCTGGAACAAATCCCCGTCAGAAGGCGTTTGGGTGCTGTTAGCCAGAGAAGTGCAGCAGGTAGTGGACCTCTTGGACACCAGAACAAGCCTTAACCCTCTCGTCCCTCCCACGAATCCCAAGAGAGGACTGTAAGTGGGAGCGATGCCTGACTTCATGACCAGGGGTTGAGCCCTTGCTGGAGCACAGGGGTCCCTTGGAGTCATGCGGGGAGACCCTTTTGTGCACTAAAAGGACCGATGCTATAACCAGAGGGAAAAGGATTCACATCTTTACCGGGTGACATAGTAAACAGGTTTGTCTGTGCTTAATAAAGGGATTTATCGCTAGACGCAAAGTGCAGAAGTCTGCCCAAAGACTGCGATGGCCTCAGCTTTGCCCCTGTATAAAATGAACCACAGTGAGCAGCTCCAGGGTTTCTTCTTCCGCTCTTTTTCGGGTTCCCTACTGACCTGTTACATTTTCCCCCACGGTGGGCAGAAATAGGGTCCTTTCCGTCTTCATTTCAGACTTCTGAAGAGCAGTGCTGTCATTGCCACAATGCTTCTGTGACTTGACTTCCAGTTACTAAATCCCGTGAAAGTGCTCTCATTCTTGTGTTCACGCTGGTCTGGCATGCAAAACACTTGGCTTCAGAAAGTTGATCGCTGGCTACAGGGAAAAGTCAGGGCACTTTGGTTGCCTTATTTTCTCCAGTTGTCTGTACAGTGCTGCCTTATCTCAGGACTCAGCTTTAACAGGAACTTAAACAAGGGAATATGAAGCTTTAATCAGTAATTATTGCTCTGGATTATCCTTTGGTTTATTTTCATACAGAAAACTTAGAAATCAAGATGTTTCAAAATACGATGAGCCAGGGAAATGTTTTAATTGCTCATTTGATGACTGTTGGAATATTTTCAGTCATTTGCAAAAAAATGGGAAAGTGCAAGACTTAACAATGGGGTTTAATGGAAAGAATTAAAGACGTGGTGCCAAAACAGACAAGAGGGAGGTGGCTTCAGACCCCTTCCAAAATCCACTGATCAGATGTCAAGAGCCATTGATTTCCATGGACGTCGAATCAAGATTGTGTTTTTTCTGGAGACAAACAAATTTCAATTCTGTATAACAAAGCTCTTTTAACACGTTTAAATGCGTATGCAGTACGTTAACCTCTGTTTATGGCTAGAGGAGTGGATCATCTCTTGAAAACAGTAACAGCCACCAGAACTGGGCGAGTCGAATTGAAGTCAAAAGGGCTGCTAATCCAGCAGATCCCTGGTAGAGACAGTAGCATCACCATCTCCCGCGTGGTAGAGCCAAAGCCCAGCACCACGTCACTCCATACATTATGCTGGTGACCCAAAACATTGGGAAAAGGCAAAACAGGTCAGTGAAAATGATATGGAGGAGGCATAGCTGCCATGGGGAAGGACTCTGTACAGGAGCGTGGCGGTTCTTCTGGCGCAACACAATACACTTTGCACCAGCGTGAGCAGGGGATCCTTTTGCCGCCATCTGTCCCACCAGCAGCCTGTTGCTGAGCAGTGCGCGAGATACATCCAGTCCTGCCCGGAGGACACCTGAAAGGGCCTCTCCATGAAACCTAACAAACTAAAAAGAGGCATCCCTAGAGCTAAAGCGCGACGGTAACTGTTCAGCTGGAATTGCTGCCCTGCAGTGACGCTCCTCGTCGGAAAGCGCTCTGATCCGGCCTCTCACCTTCCCGTCGAGGGGCGATGCGCCCTTTGGGCACCACCTTCACCTTCACTCCCCACACAGAACCAAGCCCAGTCCATGGAGGAGCAGCGGGCGCACGGGCAGGCGCAAGATGGCACGTGTGGCACCACTTCAAATCGTCAGGCGTGTCTGAAGGACTGCGTCGGCCCCACGGGCCTCCTGTTAAACTGTAACGGGAGATCTGCGTACTCACACGGATGCCAGTAGAGAAAGTGGTGATCTTTGAACAAGCCTCTAGTTAAAAAGTAAATGTGATCTTCTGAATTTTTGAGATTTTTATGACAAAAGGCTAAGCCAGGCGGCTCTGACTGAGCGGTAGGTGAGGTATTCCCCCCATGGTCTGCTTCTAAAATCAGCTTCACACGCTGACATGAAAATGTTCATCTTGGCTCATCCCTACCTTGCCCGGGGGCTTGGGGGAAGAGATTCGCTGAGGATCCTCTCTCATCACCCGATTCAGGGGCCAGGATTTCACCCTGATGGAAAAGACTAAAGGGCTTCTGCTGCCTTTCCCCAGCGATGGCATCATGCCCTCGGGAACCTCTGCCAAGGCAGCAGGCTCTGCTCCTTCCTCCAGGTTCCCCCACACCTGTCACTCCTGCTTATTCCCGTCTGACTTACCAGGACACCTATATTCAGGGAACATCATCGCTCTTTTAACACTTCTTGAGTAATGGAGAAATGCAAACACCAGACAAAGGCAGATGACCTTCGCATTTCTGGGCTTTTCCATCAACCTGGCTACCTGCAACCACATTGCAGGGATGACAGCTGGAAACATCTCTTGCTGTTCCTTAACCAGCAGTACAGTATGAACCCAAAAGCCCGTGATCCCAAAGAAAGTTTGGGGAGAGGTGAAGGCTCTCCTCCTCGTAACTATGTGATTTTCTCCTCCAGCACCTCAAGAGGCAACACTGACAGAGAAAGAAAATAAAACTGTGCTGAAACCTCTTTGTGCGCTTCCTACTCCCTGTTGGACCCCACCAGCCCCGCGAAGCAGCAGGCAGCCATGCCCGAACTGGGAAGATGCCCACAGCTTGTGGCCGTGCACAGCTCCCCAGGGAGCATCTGCTGAGCCACCAGCTCGGCTGTGCTCGTGGACGCGTGTTTGTGCAGGTCCCACGGGGCGACCGAGAGCCTCAAGGGGCTGGGGGGGGGATCTGAGCTGCCCGTGGGCAGACCTGCAGGCTGTGTGGCCTCCAACAAGTGAAACAAATTCCTCTGGGAAGAGCCAACAGCTTTTATCAGGTCGCAGAGCTGGTAGGCAGGAAAGAAAGCGCAACCCAGTTATTTGGCTTATGAAGCCCAAGACATGTGAGCCAGCAGCATCGCAGAGGAGCAGGCTTCTGCCACGAAGGTGCGGGCAGCTCAGCAGCTCTTCGTATTTGCATTCTCCAGCTGACTTTTGGATGTCCTACCTGGGGTTACCTGAAAGTTACTCTTTGCTCTTATTGATGATCAAAGGGCCGGGAAGCCTGCCGTATGAGGAAAAGCCGAGAGAACTGGGTTTGTTCAGCCTTGAGAAAAGGAGACTTGCTGAGCAAAGAAGACTTAGGGGAGACCTTATCACCATTAACCCTGGTCAGTGTTTGAAGGCTGAATACAAAGAAGATGGAGACTCCCTTTTTGCGAGGAGTCACATGGAGAAGACGAGGGGTAATGGGTACAAGTTAATCCTGGGGAGATTCTGACTGGACACAAAGGGAAAATTTTTCACAGTGGGAGCAATCAGCCATTGGAATGATCTCTACGGGGAAGTGGTGGATTCCCCAACGCTGGACACTTTTAAGATTCAGCTGGACAGGGTTCTGGGCCATCTTGTCTAGACCATGCTTTTGCCAAGAAAGCTTGGACCAGATGATCCTTGAGGTCCTTTCCAGCCTGGTATTCTACGACTCCATGATTCTATGATTCTCCCCAGTTTTCTACGCGATGGATCTGTTTCAGCAGTATCAGACCTCCCGCCCCTGCCACAAGCGTGTCCTGACCACACGCTCTCACCTATCCCAGCGATTCCTTACCCACCGTGTTGGCTCTCTCCCGTTTTCCCTCACTGGCCGCTGCTTTTCCCTCTCATTTCTAACTCAACCCCGAGACGGGTTGCTCTCTTCTTCTCCAGCCACCAATGCCACCATCCGTCTCCTCCCTGAGGATTTTGTTCCGCAGTTGTTCAGTCCGGATCATCTCCTTCCCTCCTGCCCCAGGGATTTCTGCAGAGCCGTCCTCTGCCCCAGCCAGCCCTTCCTGCTCCTTTCCAGACGATTGCTTCTCCTCCTCATGGACCTCAACCTGCCCTGTGCTCCTGACACCAAAGGGGTTGACACAGTGGTGTGAGCTCTTCTAGAGTCATTAAGGTTGGAAAAGACCTCCGAGATCATCGAGTCCAACCGTCAGCCCATCACCACCGTGCCTGCTAAACCATGTCCCGAAGTGCCACATCTGCACGTTTTTTGAGCACCTTGCTCAGGTCCGCCCAGACTTCTCACCCCACAGCAGACTTACGACCTGGCCCTTTCAACGTGGGAGGAACTATGAGCGAGGAGTTACGATGGGGACAAATTCCTCGCCCATGGCTTGCACTTTCACTCTGCTCACCCCGCGTGATGCAACTGCTGCAACTCGGCCGTAACAACGCGAACCCCCGTGTGATTCCTCAGCCGCGCACCACCCTTCCGTGAGCCGGAACATCCTTTCCCTCCGCGGGCGCGGCGGTGAGGAGGCTTCGGAGGGTGGGCGCAGCCTGGGCTGCCGGACAAGCC